GTGGGCAAGAAGAGCTGCACCAGCGCCACCTCCTCGCTCCGGAACATGGAGCCCATGGTCCTGTGGGGTGGCCGGGGGGTGAGCGCTCAGCCGGGGTGGACCACGGACCACTCCCCGTCGAGTAGGGATTCTGTCCACTGCAGCCCACATAATCCACGGAAGATCCTACTACCAACCCCATCTCACAGATGGGGAGACTGAGGCCTGGGGAGCCTCAAAGGGGGGCTGAGGTCACACAGGAAGTAAGTGTGCAACTGGGAGGGGAGCCTGCCCCGCTGACCCCACCGCCCAACCTCGCTCCAGCCCTTTCCCAGCGGGCTCTGCCCTGCCTGTCCCAGGCGCCCACCCCTGACTGCCGGTGGCACTGGCTCTTCTCACGCCTGACCTCTGCTCCCACTGTCCCTCCTCTGTGACCTGCTCCCACCTTGGATCCTAATCGTCGTCGGGGCCCCAGGCCAAGGGCCACCTCCAGCAGCCGGCCTCCTGACGGCCACAGCCCTCGCTGGCCATGAGCCCCTGTCCTTCGACACCAGGGAGTGAGCACCGAGGCTGGGTCTGTCCCCACGGGCAGCTGGAGCCCTGCTCCCTCCCTGAGGTGTCTGTGTGTGTGCTGAGGGGGTGGGGTCCCCGCGGGCCTCCCTCACCGAGGGCAGAGAGGCCTGGCGGCAGACGTGCCCGTGAGGCCCGGGCTGTTGGCAGCCGCTGTCTGCACAGGGGCGGGAACAGGCTTCCAGGTGTCGAAACTCACAAAATGAAACTGGAAACTGACACGGGCAGGAAGGGCCCCGCTGGCCCCCCCGCTGGGCCCCAATGCCGCGGGAGGAGGCCTACAGATGCCCCGGCCCACAAGCCAGGACCCCGTGGCCGCTGCTCTCGGGGCCCAGGGCCAGCCACTTCCCCTCTGTGGGACTCAGTTTCCTCAAATTGTGGGGGAACGGGACAGACACAAGGGAGGTCCCCACCTGAGAGGGTGAACATCAGGCACCAAAGTGCCCTGCCTGCTGTCTGGGCCAGCTAGGGCCAGCCCAGCCGGTCACTTCTGCCCCCGGACATGGGTTACTTCAGTCTAATTAGGGAATGCAGCCCCGGCCCCAGCCTGGAAGAGGAGAAAAGGCTGAGAGGCAGCCCGAGGCTGCAGAAGCACTGGGCCCCGGACAGGGAGGGGTGGGCAGGAGCGGCTAGGTTCCCTCCCCAGAAGACCAGGGAGCAGGGTTCAGAGCCCCGCCCAAACTTGACTGGCTGTGTGACCTTGGGGGAGTCTCTCACCTTCTCTGGACCTTCACTTCCTCTCTGGGTAAATGGGACTTGGCCACCCCCAGGAGAGACAGGACCTGGGTAGGGAGATGACAAAAATAAGGAGAGTCTCCAAGCAATCCCTTCTCCCTCCTTTAAAGCTAACAGCAATCCTGGGGGTTAGAGGACCCTGCGGGCCTGTTTTACAGACCAGCCAATATGCACTTGGAGAGTTGAGGTCGGGGATCAGGTGGTCAGCAGGTGGCCAAGTCAGGCAGGAGCCCGGCCCTGGGGCTGCGGGGCTGGGAGTCCCGGCGCACGACTGTGCTCAGGAGAGGACATCGTCTGCCCTGGGCACCCTGAAAGGCTGGGGGCTTGTAGGGAACCAGGTCTGGGGATCCAGAGGGTACAGGAGCCCCAAGCTGTACCCTTCACTCACAGGGCCTCACCCTGGGCAACTCCCTTGCGTGGGACAAGCTGGGGTGGGCTCAGAGTGTAGGGGGCTGGTCAGATCCCTCCCCCACATTTTAGGACCTCACTGGCTCTCCCCTTCCCCCATCCTCCCTGGCCCCTACCCAAGCCAGGGGCCACCCCAGTCCCTTTAATGGAGCAAACAAAGCTTCCTCCGTGCTGCGGCCTTCAGGGTCCAGGCTGCAGCCCTCTCCTCACTCTATTCCCCCTCCTCCTGGTCCCTCAGGGACTGAGGCTAAGGCTAGCTCCAGGAACCCACCAGAGCTCCTCTAAGCCCCTGACCCAGGGATGACCAGCTGGACTGGAGGGGAGGGCCCGAGGCCTCTTGATTCCAGACCAGTAGGCTCTGGAGCTGGACTGATCCTACTTGCCTCTAGGTCTGCCTCTTTCTAGTTGAGTGGGCCTTAATCTCCTCATCTGTAGAATGGGTCCCGCCCTCCGAGAAAGATGTCACAGAGCTAGCTCTGGGCGCCACCAGAGCGCCACCAGGCCCAGCAGAGCTGTGCTCAGTAGTTAGCGGCTGTTAACTCCCCATCTTCCTCTTCCTTTTCCCTTTCCCCCCCTCCTCCTCCGCCTCGTCGCCACCATGGCCCCCACCAAGGCCTGACACCCGGCGGGCCGGCAGACTGAGTCTCATCCACTGATCCAGCTGGGTGGGGGTTCCAAGATCCGCTTTCGGGCGCAGGGCGAAGCGAGGGTGGCAGACGGGGCTGCGGGCTCGGCAGACCCCTGCTGGGGCACTCACCCCCGGGCCAGCAGCACTCGGCGCCGCTCCACTCTGCGTTCCGGACTCCGCGCTCGGGGCCGCGGCGCCCACGCAACTCACTTTCCTCGGCGGGCGGGGCCGCGAGGGGCGGGACCACGGAAGCCCCGCCCCGGCCCGGCCCGGCCCGGAGTCCCGTGAGCCGCCCGGAGGGTTGCCGAGCTCCGGCTGCGACCCCGCCCGCCCTCACTTCCTGGAGGTCCAATGGGGGCGTGTGCCGAGGACCCCGGAGACCCGAGCGGGGACACAGACCGGCGCCGACCGCGCACGCCCACGTGGCCGGGATGCGGGGAGGCGTCCGGGGATAGGGGATGGGACCCCTCCCACCCCCATCTAGAGGACTCGCTGGGCCTGTGGCTGAACGGACCCCAACACGCTCCCTCACCTCTGGGACTCCCGCCCGTTTCCTGAGGCCACGGTTGCACCAGGTCCTTACACCTTCCTGCCTCTGACCGCCCGGGGCGGGCGCCTAAGCTCCAGGCCCAGTGCTCTGTGCCCTTGGGTGGGTGCTCATCCCCTCTGGGCCTGTTTGCTCAATGGCAGCAGGACATGGAGGGCCAGGCCACGTTGTGTCGTTCCACTCGGGGCTGGGCACCCAATGTTAGCTGTCGCGGATGGGGGTGTCGCTCGGGGCAGTCGGTCCTGCCCCAGCACCCTCTAAACTGAGGTTCACGACTACCCAGCTGCCTGTACTTTGGACAGGCCAGGACCATACCCACCGGGGCCAGGAGGCACAAGGGGCCCCTCAACTCTAGCGATCCTTCAATCCCACACAGCAAGGTCCTCTGAGGGGTGGGGATGGAGCCGTGGGCGGTCGGAGCCCCAGAGCTGGGGTGGAAAGTTACAGCCAAGGCCAATGTCCTCAGGAAAGTGGGGGACCCCTTCTGGGGCCTTTTAGGTCCATTTCCAGTGGGGGGGGGGAAGGGACCCTTAACCAAAAAGCACCTGTAGGGGCCTTCAGTCAATACCTGATGCAGGGGAAACCAGAACCCTTTTACAAAATGGCATTAAAGGTGACTACACACACACACACACACACACACACAGTTTGACAAGTCAGAAGACGGAAGGATCCAGACACACACACACACACACACACACACACACACACAGTTTGACAAGTCAGAAGACGGAAGGATCCAGTCAGGAGCTGGAGAGCCTGACCCAGTTTTAACTTTTTTTTTTTTCTTTTAATTTTACAGAGAGGAGGAGGGGGCAGAGAGAGAATCTCAAGGAGGCTTTGCGCTTAACACGGAGCCTGACACGGGGCTCAATCCCATGACCCCAGGATCATGACCTGAGCCGAAATCAAGATTGGATGCTCAATTCAATGAGCCACCCGGGCACCCCCGATCCACTTTTAGACATTTCTATTTATCTGTGTACAAATAGAGGCTCCATGACAATTACCTAATGCTGGTTCTACCTGGGAAAAGAAACCAGAGGTGACTTGGGATTTTCGAGCCTGTTCATGACTGCAGAGCTCTGGGCGCACAGATCCTTCCCGGGTTCTGGTCTTCCCTTCTGGGCCTGCACTCACTTCCCGGCTCTGCACCTTGTTCCTCGGGCTGTGGGGGCACAAGCAGGTCCAGGCCACTTCAGTACGAGAGAGCCTGGCTGGCAGCAGTGAGGAGAAAAGGGATTTCTTGGGGAATGAGCTGGGGAAAGGCTACGGTTCTTTGCTACAGGCCTTCTCAGAGCCTTGAATACGGTCACACACACAGCCTATCCGAGAGCGCACTTAGGCACTGCCCGCACTGACTGGTTCACAGAACACCCTTCTCTCCCTTCTTTCCATCGTGGGAGGTTAGCGTTTTATAAAAAATACTTTCGTAAACGATGGAGAAGGGGGACTCAGATCTCTGACCAGGTTAGTTTTCATCAGACACATGCTGTGTGATTCTTAGCAGGTCACGTCACCTCTCTGAGCTGGTTTGCTCCCAGCTGAGAATATACTGAAGTTCTTCCACAGGCCCTGGCACTGAGTTCGAGGGAGCGGTTTCTGAAGATTATGGCCCCACGGGAACCACGCTGCTGCCGGGATTGCAAAGCAGGAAGTTCGGAGCAGAAGCCCAGCCAGCAGCCCAGTCTGGGGAACTTGGGGAGGAAAGGGGATGTGGCTGGAAATGAGGCAAGGCCAGCTCAGGCACAGTGGGGTCTGTGTCACCTCCTCGTGACAGTGACCGTTGCCCAGCAGGCCCCTCCCTGTCCCCAGGGAGGCCGCCCTGGCCTGAGTTTCTGCCCCTCGATGAACTTCTGCTCCGCAGGGTTGGAGGCGTGGGTGGCCCTCGGGTGAGGGCAGGCCCAGCCCCCACCCTTTGGGCATCCAGGATTATGGGAACGGGGGACCCAGGCCAAGCCTAGAGGCATCACCTCGGAAGATGTGTGCGCGGCAGGGAGGCCCCAACGGGCCCTAGACTCCCACGGGGAGGCCAGGCTACCTCTGGTGGCCCCACTGAAGGGCCTGTCCCGGGGAGGAGCCCACAGGCCGCGTGGCCCGGCCCCGATGGCTGAACTCAGGACAGAGGCGGTGTGGGAGGGCAGAGCTGCTTTATTGGGCCGCAGGGTGGCCGGGGGTCAGCGGTACAGGTAGTCCGCCTGGATGTTGGCGGCGATCTCGGCCTCCCACTTGTCGCCGTTGTTGAGCAGTTTCTCCTTGTTATACAGCAGCTCCTCGTGCGTCTCCGTGGAGAACTCGAAGTTGGGGCCCTGCAGGCGGGGGCCGCCGTGTTAGGTCTCCCCCAGGCGCCTCTGCCCCGGCCTCACCCAACCCCGGGCCACTCACCTCGACGATGGCGTCCACAGGGCAAGCCTCCTGGCAGAAGCCGCAGTAGATGCACTTGGTCATGTCGATGTCATAGCGCGTGGTGCGGCGGCTGCCGTCGGCCCGCGGCTCGGCCTCGATGGTGATGGCCTGGGGGAGGGGCACGGCGCACCCCTTACCGTTCATTCCCGCCCCATGTCTGTCCTGTCCCGGAGGGGCCACCCGGGGCCACGGGACGAGCCCTGCCACCCCCTCTCAGCCCGATGTGCCCTCCCTGCCGCCTCTCCCACAGGCCCAGGTCACACCACCCCAGCACGTGTCCTGACTGACATTTTTCTTGTTTGTTAACTGCCGCTATCTCCTAAGTCCGAGGAGGGGAGGGCGGTTGCCTGCTCCGTTCACTGAAGCACCTTAGCCCCGAGGGGGTCCCAGGAACAGCCCGATTGCTGCTGGCTGTAAATCAAACTCTCCCATTTATGTCGACTTATCCCCCTTTAAGGGATGAGAAAATTGAAGCTCAGAGAAGTCGAGGAGCTTCCCAAAGCCACACAGCAAGTGAAGGTGAAAGCCCAGACCCGAAGGTAGGTCCTTAACCCTCAGCTCCTGTGCTTTGTGCCAGCAGGGAAAAGGCCTGGGACCTCTCACAGCTGGGAAGGACCTTCAAAGGCCCTCACGGGTCCCCAGGAGTGTAATGCCCCCCATTCGGTGGGACCCTAGCCTGGTAGCCTTGTTTCTTTGTGCCTCAGTTTCCTCATCTCTAAAAACGGGGAGGATCACCTTTGCATCCCACAGTTGACGTACCCACGGTGCCCGTCGGGACCCCTGCTGGGCACGCCCACAGGTCCGCCCAACAGCCTTGGCTGCATCTGTTTCTACACGAACAGCCCTGACCCCGGGTGGTCCACGTGAGACCCTCCAACAGAACCTGGAGCCGAGGGCAGGGAGGGCTTCAGCCGTGGCACGTGTGTCCTCGGGGCTGAGCCCCTAAAACCGCTGCTGCGTTCAGGGCATAAGCGGAGACCTTCGGGGGCTTCTGAAGGTCTGCACGCCCCTGACCAGACCCCCAAGTACAGGACCCACGTGTGCCACGTGGCCTGCTCAGGGCTGCGAGCCTGCCTCTGATGACCCACTGACGCTAAGCTGGCCTGGCGACACGGCTCAGAGAGGGAGAGGGGGGTTCCTGGGGACACACCCAGCAGGGGGACCAGAGTTCGGCCCGGGGCTCACCTGGGCAGGGCAGACGGCCTCACACAGCTTGCAGGCGATACAGCGCTCCTCTCCCGATGGGTAGCGGCGCAGCGCATGCTCCCCCCGAAAGCGCGGGCTCAGCGGGCCCTTCTCGAATGGGTAGTTGATGGTGGCCGGCTCCCGGAACAGGTAGCTCAGGGTCATGCCCAGGCCTATGGGCGGCATGGTGGGTGGGTGGGGGGCCCCTCCTCCCTAACAATCTGTGCCCCTGCCCCACCTGTGCGGCCCCTCTCCCTGGGGCCCACCTCGGATGAGCTCAGTCCACAGCAGGGTCTGAGCCGCCCGGTCGGTCACCGACTTCATGTCCATCGAGGGCTCCCGCATGTTCACGAACTCTGCAGGGGAGGTGGGCAGAGGGGCTGTCATGATGGGGCTTCTCACAGCCCCACATGCCCAAGTCCCCTAGGAAGCCAACTCAAGGAGAAGAGTCCTGGTCAGGGGGCGCCTGGGTGGCTCAGTCAGTTAGGCATCTGACTCTGGCTCAGGTCACAGTCTCGCAGTTCGGGAGTTCAAGCCCCGTATCGGGCTCTGTGAGGACAGCTAGGAGCCTGGAACCTGTCTTGAATTCTGTGTCTCCCTCTCTCTTTGCCCCTCCCCCACTCCAGCTCTCTCTCTCTCTCTCTCTCTCTCTCTCAAAAATAAATAAACGTTAAAAAAATTTAAAAAAATAAAGTAAAGGCCTGGTCTTCCTTCCAGCTGGACCACCCCCAAGGGCTTGTTCGCTCACCAAAACTTCCCACCTCAGCGAGCGCCCAGAGGCCTGGCTCTGGGCAATCCTTGCCCACCTCTCGCGGTGTCTGGGCAGCCATCTGAGCCAGGGAGTTGAAGGGGACTGAAGGGGCTTGGGTGGTGGGGTCCCGGTGAAGAGGATGGCCACCCAAGGCTCACAGCTGGCAGCTGCTCCCCCAGTCCCACGCAGGGTAGCTCTGAGATCCCCCAGTGCGGCCACAGGGAGAGCTCCCCACCCCCTGACTCCCAGACCCTGTCCCCGTGAACCATTCAGTGAACCAGTCAGTCTTGATCATCATTACAGAGTAGAATCGGAGGCTCAGAGAGGGGGAGGGGAGGGGCCGGCAAAGCCAGGACTAGATCCCAGACTTCCTCCCCTGCCTCTGGCAAGTTCTTGATCAGAAATGAGGCTCAAGGTGCCCCCAGACTCACTGTAGGTCGCTGCCACTGTGCTGCTGTGGAGGCTCCGGCCACCGGGGTGCCCTGGAAGGATAGGGATGACGCTGTGCGGCGGCAGCCTCACACCGGGGGGCTGGGCCCCCCCACGCCCCAGGAAAGGCTCCCCTGGTCCTACCTGCACGTGTGGCCTGGGCCAGGGCCCGAAGCAGCCTCGCTGTCGTCAGGCAGTGCATCTGCAGGCGTGAAAACGGAGGGAGGGAGGCGCAGGTGGGTCCCGGCCCTGTCCCCGCGGGAAGTCTGGCTCTGCAGGAGCCCTGACCCCAGTGCCACGGTGTCGCCTGGTCTCCTATTCCCCCGGTTCCAGTCAGAGGCACACAAGGCCTCCCTGTCCCCAGGAGTGGCCCCTCCGAGCCCTTCAAACCTGCCCCAGCTCCGCTAAGACTCAGGGAGTATCTGTGGACCCAAGTTCTACCTATCTCCTCTTCTAAGAAATTTTTCAAATCCATCCCACCTCTCTTCCGCGGCCGGTGCTCCTGCCTCCCATCTCTCCCCCGCCCTGTGCGTCCCCCCCCCCCCCCAGTGCTGACCTAAGTCACAGTGTCAGCAGTCACCAGCACTGACAGCTCACTGTGTCAGGCACTGTGCTAGGGGTCACACACTGTCATGTGGTCCTTACAAGGACCCCTCATGAAAGGCACACAGAAGCTGAGGCTCAGCTTGTCCAAAGTCACAGTCGGGGGGGTTAGGGGATGGAGGGAACCTGTATGGAACCCCTGTACACCCCCAGCCCACGCCCGCTGGAAACCCTTTTAAGGGATCAAATTCCTTTCCCCAACATCAAGGTTTCCTTCTGGACCGGTCTCCCAGCCTGCCGGGTGACCTTGGCCGGGGGAGGTCATTTGGCGTGTTTTCTCATCTGTGAAATGGGGGTCACGAGAACGAAGAGAGGGCTACATGCCCAGAGCCTGACATTTAGCCGAAGCTCGAAAGTGCCCCTCTCGTGCCCGGTGGCTTCTCACGGGCCCATCTCTCAGGACCGCTGACTCCAGTGCCAGGCGCCCAGCCCGACATCTGCCCCGACCTTCGCCGTGACCTCTGACCCCACAGGCGCGGGCGGGGCATGCGCCTCGACGGTGCCGGGTCACGGGTCGGCTCGCGGCGCGCTGAAGGGCACCAGGGCCGCGGGTCCTGAGCAGGCCGAGATGAAGCCGGGCACAGAGCCCGCGAGGCCGACGAGGGCACCGCACTCCCCCCGCCGCCGCGCCGCCGAGACCCGGCTTCTAAAGCTGACCCCTGAACACCCACCTTGAAGCGCTGCCTCTCCTTCCCTCGCTGAGCGGCCTATCCGCCGAGAGGCGGAGCCTACACTCTGAGACGCTGCCATTGGGCCGGCTGCTTTCACCTTTTCCGCGCTCATCTTGTACGGTGTAGTCTGATTGGCTAATGGTGCAGCCGAAAGAGGCGGGATCCAGAAGTAGCTTTCCTTTGATTGGCAAGGGGGGAGCAGGCACTTGAAGTTCCATAGGGCGCCGCCATGTTGGGTTGGAGAAGCCAATAAGCGAGGACTCCCGACCGCCGTAGGCGGGACATCCGGGGCGTGGCTTAGGAAGTGGCTCCGGGTCTGACCTGGCGCCCTGTGCTGGAGGCTGGCTCACCGCCGCAGCTCGTTGACTGTGATAACGGTGCTGACTTGTGGCCGGCAGTGATTCCGCAGGAGCCGTGCCTGCTCGGCGCTAAACCTTTACCCAGGAGCCCTGTGTGGAGGATTATTCTCGCTTTACAGATGGGGGATGAGGCACGGGCTGCAAAGTGCAGCCGCCTGAATCCCACCTGGATCTGTGTGACTCGGGATCCTTGTCCCGCAGCAGCCACCAAACCTGTTTCCTCCCAGTGGATTGATTGTGTGCCAGAGGCCCCCGGAGGTTTCGGGCACCGAGAAGGCCCTGTGTGTTATGGGGGGAATGGGAGGAGGTCATGGAAGGCTGCTTGAATGATGTGATGTCCAGGCTGACTACGAGGAGGAGTAGGACAGGCCAAGGACAGAGCGCGCGGGCCGGCGCGTGTGCGGAGGCCCCCTTGAAAAGGAGCACAGGCCAAGTGTGGGGGCACAGGGCCATGGCGGAGCCCCCCAAGGACCCCTGTGGGTCCTGACTCAGGCCACAGGGAGCCACTGAAGGGGCTCAGGCTGAGGGAGGGGTGGCATGGGCCAGTGAGCCTTGGGAAGATCCTCGGGTGCCCTGAGGTCAGGTGCATGGGGAAAGGGGAGCTGTTAGATGGCCCCGGGCCTGGTGATCAGTGTGGATTGGCAGGTTCTATAGCATCGTACAACCACCAGGACTTCCTCAAAGATGGGACTTGGGAGTTGATCGGGGGGTCCCCAGGGTTTAGTTTGGCGGGTGAACAAATGAGCAACCTGTTCCATGGCATCAGGGCCCAGGAGGGTGAGCAGGACAGGGAAGAGGGTGAGTCTGATGTGCAATCGGAGGGGAAGACACCCAGGGCCAGCCATTCCGGGGACGGGACGGGACGGGACTGTGCTCAGATCTCCCAAGAGGCTGAGGGGAGACAGACTGACTCCACGCAAAGGAGGAGACCAGATGCCTGGAACTTGGGGTCAACAATTAATTTATTAAACTGCAAAAATCTAATCCTCGTGACCATCTCCAGAGGTGCCAAGACATCACCTCTGCTGTGCAGATAGAAAAAAAACCTCAGGGAGCGCAGGGATTTCTTCCCGGGGCCTGGGCCGCTGCAGGTCTGCAGTGTGGCCCCTTCTGGGCCCTCCACAGGAAGGGGGGTGGCTCAGAGGTATCCCTGCCTGCCAGCCTCTCCCAGGACACGGGTGGCTAGATGGGAGGCGGGAGAGGGCGGGTCACTGCCTTGTTTCCCAGGCTCCCTCACCTTGGCCCCGTCCTAGCTGGGAGGCGGCCGAGGGAAGAGGCTGAGGGCTGGAAAAGAAAAGCCCTGGGAGCGAGGAGGGCAAGACCGGTCCGGGCCGAGGTCTTTTCCTCCTTGCGTGTGGAGCCCAGGCCACGTCTCCACGAGCCCCAGGTGGCAGGGGCAGCGCACTCACAGATGAAGGCCGGAGCAGCGCCCGGTGCCCGGGTGCCCGAGGCGGGCTCAGAGCAGGGTGCAGCTGCAGCCACGGGCCTCCATGGCCACCAGCAGCATCCTCAGCTTGCGAGGTGAGTAGGGGGGGTAGCGGATGGAGTAGATCTTCTCCATCCCAGGGCGGCGCAGCAGGCAGGCGCGGTGGTGGGAGAAGGTGTCAAAGGAGAACTTGCCGTGGTAGTTGCCCATCCCACTGGCACCTGTACAGTGGAGGGGAGACAGCAGTCAGCCCCTCCCTGGCCAGCCGATGCGTGCCAGACGGACGTGGGCCCTGCTGGTCACACACAGTATGACCTGGGAAGGTTACCGCACCTCCAAGCCTCAGTTTCCCCCTCTGTGAAATGGGCTCAGCCCCGAGCCTGCACCAGCAACAGCTCAGTAAATGTCGGAGACACCAGGTGCTGGGGCAAGATGGGTGGACAGTGGTCAAGGGTGTGGATTCTGGAATGACTGCCCAGAGTCGAATCCCAGCTCAAAATTCCTTCTGTCACTTTGGGCAGTTGACTTGGCCTCAGTCTCCTTGTCTGTGACATCGGATGACCGTGGCACCCACTTCCTAGAGCTGTGGGGGTCAGGAGGGTGTCCAGACCCACGGACGAAGTGAGGCCTGCAGTGTGTTGGGAGTCTGACGTAGCTAGCTAGGTAGGCCATCGAGGCCCGGGCTTCCGCACTGCAAGTCCAGGAGACCCAGGATGGGTGGAGTGGTGGCAGTGACGGAGGGCTTCCTGGCGGGAGTGTGATCTGAGGGACGTACAGTTGACCAGATGAAAAGGCAGGCCTCAGTGTGGGCAAGAGGGGCCCAGGCTCGGGGACAACTCAGAGAGCCTTGGAGGTGGGTGGCCCGCGGCACGCAGGGACCGGGGCAGGGCTCCGAGTGGCTGGGGCAGCAGGCAGGGGAGTGGGGAGAGGAGGTCGGAGCACAACCCGCCACCAGGCCAGGAAGAGCTGGGCCTCAGGAAGCTGTGAGTCAGGGCCTTGCTCAATCCTGGGGGGAGGTGTAGGATCAGATTGGCCCCCAGACAGGCTGCCACTCTTCCCTGGGGAGGAGGGGCTGAGGGGCTGGGACTGGAGACAGGCGGGCCAGGTGGGGACTCCAGGATGGGGGGGGGGGCGGGGGGAAGCCACGGTGTCGGCCCTCAGCCCGCCGTGTGCTTCCGTGGCACCAGCCGCTCCCAGGGAGTGTCCCCACCCGCCCGGACAGCTTGCCAGGCCCTGCCAGTCATTTGCCCAGGTGCCTAGTGTAGACAGATGTCAGTGCCAGTGTCTAGCCCTCCCATTTATTTCCCTGAGGAGGAGGTGGGCTCAGAGAGGGGATGTGGTTGCCCCAGGTCACACAGCACAGTGGGCTTGCGGGGACCAGCCCGAAGGTTTCCTGCCTCAGAGGCCAGGACTTTGCAGTGGTTACAGGGCTTCTGGGGCCGGGGACCCCCACTCACCCGGCTTCCCTCGGACAGGGAACAGCCCCTGTCTCCTGGGGTGGGACGTGGGGGTGACACACCGGGTGCTGGACTGAGGGGACACAGGACAGGCTAAAGGGGCATGTGGTAGCCTCACCATGGGATGGAGGGGACACAGGAGGCCACCCATGGGAGCTGGTGGGCAGACTCAGAGCCGCGCTGTTGGTGAGAAGCGCAGGGACAGCGACCACAGTGGTGCTCAAACCCTGAATGGTGTCTCAGTGGCCCACCCACACGTGTACATGCAGGGACGGGTCTGGAAGGTTCCTTCAGGATGGCGATGTGGGGGTGCCATCCAGTCCAGTAACAGCGAGGGAAGGCGGGGCTCTGGCGGCACCTACCCACTCCTCCAAAAGGCAGACTGGAGAGGGTCAAGTGCATGAAGCCGTCGTTCCCGCAGAAGCTCCCGCTGCTGGTCTCGGCCAGCACTCGCTTGACCACCTGCAAGGGAGGCAGCAGTGAGGCCCCGTGGCCGGGCAGTAGCAGGCTACCAGGAAGAGTCAGGCCACCGCGTGAGTCGCAGGGGGTGTGGTCGCGTGGCAGCCGACACCGAGCCCCCAACTCGGGACATGTCTCCTGAGTGCCAGCTCAAGCGCCGCCCCTGCTGGGGACCCAGACTTAGAGCCGAGAGGGAGGCAGCCATCGTCTGGGGACGCAGAGAGTTCAAGGTGAAACGCCAGGTAGTCAGGGAGGCGTCCCAGAGGAGGGATGAGATGCACCTGCGGCATCTCAGGGGGAAAGGGCCCCCCCCAGGCAGAGTGAGGGGCAGGTGCAGAGACCCAGGGACCGGCCCATGCTGTGCAGCACAGGGAGGACATTGACGTGGGGCGACGCAGCCAGACTGGTATTTTAAAAACATTAACTTGGCCCTTGCGTGACTAAAAGGAAGACTTTCTTTAACCTATAGGTATATTTGAAGGACGGGAGGGAAAGAAGATTAGTGAACGCTACATAGTCGGTGCCGAAAACTTGGCCATATTTGGTTACAACACATGATCCTCAGCTAGCGGATCCTCTAGATGGTGGGTAGAGCAACCCCCCACCCCCACCCCATCAGGGGCTCAGAAATCACCCGGAGGCCAGCACCGACCACGACAAGATGGGGCAGAAGTGTCATGGTGCTTCTCGGGGAATAAGGGCAAGTCACGGGGGCGGCCGAGCCTCACGGGTGTGACTCTCTCCCTGGCAGTGTGGGTCATCCAGAAAAGCTTGAAAGTCACTATGCCAGATGGCCCCTCTCCGGAAAACCCGGGTTGCATTTTCTCAAGTGAATCTTTTTACTTTATTTTAGTTTTTATCTTATTTATTGAGAGAGCACACATGAGCGAACCAGGGGCAGAGAGAGAATCCCACGAGGTGCAGAGAGGGAGAGAGTTTGGAGCCCAGAGCAGGGCTTGAGCTTACCCGACAGCGGGGCTCGAACTCATGAACCCATGAGATCATGACCTGAGCTGAAGTTGGATGCTTAAGCGACTGAGCCACCCAGGTACCCCCCCCTAAAGTTAATCCTATCCAGATAAAGTAAAGCTCCTTCAAGGAATGGCTGATTCTAGGGCTGGGCAGGGGGAGTACAGGTGAGCCAAAGCATCTTATAGACCCTGAGAGGAAGGAAATGGTCCGAAGACAGAGTGTGGGAAGATCTGAGGGACAGAGCAGCTCCCACTGCCCGAAGCAGGACGACGTGAGCAAGGAAACAAATCAGGTGTCACCTGTAACGCAGAGGATAGAGCAGAGGCCCGCGAGTTCGTGCTGGTACAAAGTGATTCCAGAGCCAGAGCTTTCTTACATATTCCGGGTGATCTGTGTACAGTTTCGCTTCCATCAAGTGGAGCTTAATCACACCCCTCCCATGGAAGGTGGGCTGGACTTTTCTCTAGGTGGAGACCCTGGGCGGACAGGACCTTGGCCAAGCGGTGAAGGTCAACCTCACCAGTGATGTGTGGCTCCCTGATAGGGTGTCAGAGGCCAGCCCTTGCCTCCGTGGCGATTGTTTCGTGATCAACACCATAGACCCCAGAAAGTGGGGACATTGTTCCGGAGGCTTGTCTGCACCTCCCCACAGGCCAGAGGAGCCATGACAATTAAACGCAACGTGGGACCCTAGCGTGGATCTTGGGGCTGGAAGGAAAACTGGTAAAACCCGTATCAAATACGAAGTATAGTTAACGGTAATGCACCAGCCTCAGTTTCTTAGTTTGGACCAACATAGGCACCCTTAAATAAGGGCAACAGTTTGTGGGGTAGAGTAGGGTAGGGGCTCCCTGGACCGGCTTTTATCTTCTGTAAATCTGAAATTATTTCAAAATAAGTTTGTTGAAAAAAAGCACTGTCCAACCTACAAGGGATCTGGTGGGGGCTGGGTGAGGGGGAAGGTGTGCCCTGAGCTGAGGACACCCGCCCTGTGCCCCGGAGGTTCTCAGGCTGCCCGCAGGGGGTGGGCAGGGCGGGGGCAGGGGCTTGTTGTCCTGCCTGCATGTTCTGGTCCTTCACCCTCTCCTGGTCATCCCACCCCATGCCATGTGTGCCTTCAAAGAGCCATGCACTGCAAGGGGACCCTTGTCCACCAGCCCAGATGATGAGGAAGACGGAGGTGGGGACTGACGGAGCAGAGAGACACTGAACCAGGGGGAGACCCTGGGGGCTGCCCACTGAGGGCCAGGAGACGGTGGCTTACATGGGAGGAGAGGAGGCGCGGCTGCCCCAGGGAGAAAGGACAGTGACCACCAAGAGGGCCACCATCTCAGAACTCCCGTGACTGTCCTGGAGAAACAAGACCTCTCGCCCTCCCTCCAGGCCCCTTGGTCCACTCCAGACCTGGAGCCACCTCCGCTCTGTGGTCACCACCCCACCATCCACCGCTGGCCTCTGCCCCTACCTCTGTCCAGCGCCGCCCGAGCCCCCACCTGTTTGCTGTTGGAGAAGGCGTACAGGGCCAGGGGCTTCTCCCGACGGTTGATGAAGTCGATGGCCTCGTCCAGGCTCCTCACGTTCACGATGGGCAGGATGGGTCCGAAGATCTCCTCCTGCATCACCGGCTCCGTCTCCGCCACGTCCACCAGCACCGTGGGGGCTGCGGGCGCAGGGGGCGGCTCAGCCCTGGGGAGGGGGCCCTCGGGCAGGGCTCAGGGACCTTCTGGGGAAGACGGTGTCCCCACAGCCCCCGGGAAGGACCGGGAGGCCGGCCGGGGCCGAGGTGGAGCGCCAGCATCTCCGAACGGTCTTCCCGGAGCCGGGGCCCAGGCTGGGCTCGGCCGGTGCAGCCGTGGGAGCCTCGCGGCCCAGACTCGCGGCCCAGGCGGGACCGCATCATGGACAGGCCTTCCCCGGGGGTCGTGGCGGGAGGGCGGCTCACCGATGTAGCGCTCGCCCTCATCGCTCTGGCCGCCAATGGCCACGCGGCCGCAGCCCAGCAGGCCTTGGAGCCGCCGGAAGTGCTTCTGGCTGATGATGCGGCCCAGGTTCGGGGAGCCCCGCGGGTCGTCGCCGTAGAAGCGGGTGATGGCGCTCTGCAGGGCGGGCAGCAGCCGCGCCTGCGTGTCAGGGCTGCACAGCACGTAGTCGGGGGCCACGCAGGTCTGGCCGGTGTTGAAGTAGCGGAACCAGGCCACGCGGTTGGCCACGGTCTGGGCATCACAGTCGTCGTCCACGTAGCAGGGGTTCTTGCCCCCCAGCTCCAGCGTGACGGGCGTCAGGTGCTTGGCGGCGGCGGACATGACGATCCTGCCCACTCGAGGGCTCCCTGGTCGCGGAAAGAAACCAGAGTGGCCCTCGGTCACCTCGGCCAGACGGGATGGCCTCAGCCTGGGAATCGGGAGCCCTCGAGGGGGGTCCGCTCCCTGGGGAAATGCACCAGGGCCCCGATCGCGTCCTCCACCGGACCAGCCGGACCCTGCACCCCTCCCCCCGTCCCCAGGCCCCTCGAGCACTGACAGTGACCGCTCTGGCCCGACACCAGAGTCCAGCTCCAGGGGCCGCCATCTGAGCCTCTCTCTGACCAGCCTGTCTTGCCCCCCTCACCACCCACCCTTCCCTCCGCTCCTGACCCGGCTGAAGTGGCCACGTGCTTGATCTCCAGGGGCTCACAGACCCCTCCCCCCCTCCCGCCGACCTTAAGTCCCCTGGTCCTCAAGGTGTCCCTGCCCCCACCCCTACCCCTCCAGGCCCACCTACCTCCCCTCCCCCCTCCAGGCCCATCCATTCCTCCCTCAGGTCCTCCTGTCTTTCAAAACCGTCTCTTGTCTGTGAGGCCCTCCCTCTGTCCCCTGTCCCCTCGTTATGACACCACAGAGTCTGGACACTGCGCGCGCTCTCAGAATGCAGTGAGCAAGTGAGTGAACACGTCCCCAGGCCACGTGCTGGGACAAAGGCTCCCATGAGTTCGCATGTCCTGGACACAGACCTGTGACCGCCGTCAGATACGAAAGGCCACGAGGCTGTGGCAGAGTCTGTTCGGGTCAGTGTGCCAGGCCCCTGTGCACGCTGTCCGGGTTCCTGGCCACAGTCACGGGGGCCCGAGGCCCCGAGCCCACCGAGCCGCCGGCCGGGATTCTAGAAGGTGACTGCCTCCTCCCAGCTGCCTGCTGCTCCTCCGCCCACTGGGAACCTTCGGGGACCAGCTGAGGACCCCGCCCCCTGCTTCTGTGGTCACGCCCCCTGATAGGCAAGGTGGTCCCGGGCTTGCGGCGGGTCTGGGGGGCAGTGAAGCAGAGACCACGCTCTCCCTGCTCTGGGGTGGACACAGTGTGCAAGGCAGGAGGCCAGTGAGCAGGACTCTCTCGCTTCCAGAACCTTGGCCGGGTAAGATGGCCACTGGCCTCCTGGGCTCTATCACCCTGATAGAGACTCCTTCCTGGCCTCTCGAAGCCCGGTGGCATCTGGGCCTCGTGGCACACGACAGGGGGACAGCAGGTGGCCTCTGAGAACAACCTGTGGGCCTGGAGGGAAAACCCGGCCTCCCCCGTCCTGGCCCCGGGGGAGGGGGGTGGTGACCCAGCCCGGGTGCCTCCTCTCTTTGTCACCCGGCCTCCAATCCCTCATCTGCCCAACCCTCCACAAGCACCCTGGGCCTGTGGGGTCACACACAGGGTCCTGGAGCCAGTGGGTGGTACAGACGGTCCTGGGGCCCCTGGCACCGTGGGAGCTCAGCAGGGCCAGACGCCGTCATCCGTGGGATTGTGACCGGTCAAGGGGCCCATGCCAGGGGGTGGGACCCAGCCCTCCCGAGGGGCCTGAGGGGTCAGCCTCACCCGTGAAGAAGATGTAGTCGAACTTGTGCTGCAGCAGCTGCCCCGTCTCCTGAGGCCCGCCCAGCACCACGGCAAAGCAGCTCTGTGGGGCGGGATGGCAGAGGGAGCCCCCTGGGACCCCGGCCTGGGGAACCCCGAGGGGGACCCGCCTGTGTGGGGCTGCCCCCCCTGCCTGGCCTCATTCTCAGCTGCTGGGGCTCCAGACTGGAGTGAGGTGGGGGCGGGGAGCCGCCCGGGGGGGCGCGGGGCACCTGCCAGCCCCGGCCCCGCAGGTGTGCGGTGAGAGCCCCGCTGGGGTCTGGGGGAGGGACGCCTGGGCGGGGCACGCAGGGCTGACCCGATGACAGGCGGGGCTCCCCAGGGGACAGGGGACTCTGTGATCCCCACCCCTGTTTCACCCAGAGGGAAAGAGGCTGCGGGGGCGGGGACCCAGTCTGACCACACACCGCGGGGGCCTGCCCGGCCCTGCTCACCTGGTCTAGGTATCGGGGCAGCACGTCGGCCAGGACCTTCTCGGTGCTTCTGCTGAACTCCGATGGCTTCAACACCACGCAGTTCCCTGCAGGCCAGGGCAGGGCAGGGGGAGCGCTGGGAGGGGGCATCCCCTCCCGCCTCGTCTCACTCTCCTTTCAGGTGAGGAATCTGGCTCAGAGAGGTGACTGACAGGCCCAAGGCCCTACAGCCCACGGCGGGGGAGGGGGGCAGGTGGGAAGCAGGTTTTCTTGGCCACTTACTGCCAGCTCCCTGCTCACTGGCTCTGTGGGCACCGTGAGGCCCGAGGGCGGGGACCGTGGAAAGCAGGAAGGTGGAAGCCACTCTCACCTGCTGCGAGGGCGCCCACCAGCGGCACCAGGATCAGGTTCACGGGGTAGTTCCAGGGGGCGATGATGAGCACCAGGCCGAAGGGCTCCTTCCTGATGAACGCCGAGTCCAGCTGCGTGGCCTGGGCCCCGGGGGAGGGGGGGCAGGGGGGTGAGTGGTGAGGCGTGGAGCCCCCCAGCCGCTCAGCGCCACCCTCCACGTGGAGAGGCAGCCCGCCCGCCCTGACCCCCAGGCCGGCTCACCAGGTTCTTGGGCACTTTCTCATCCTTCATCCATGACCTCAGATTCCTGAGGGCCAAGTTGATCTCGCTCTGGCTGATGCTGATCTCAGACACCTCTGACTCGAAAGCTGACTGCAGGGAGAGGCAGGGGCGGGGCTCGGGCCGGGGGACCAGTGCCAGCAGGTGACCAGAGCCCTGTGGAGGGTGCAGCCTCCTCCAGGCAAGCCCTCCTCTTAGTTGCTCATTCATTCATTCACTCCACGTGCAGTGGACGCGTACAGTGCTGAGGTGGCCCTCCTGTGCCAGGAACAGAGCTGGGACTGAATGCACACACGGCCTGATGACACAGACAGAGCCGATGTTGCAGGGGACAGCCGACATGCTAATGAGGACAGTGACATGACGAGCAATGGAAGGTGAAACACGGTAAGAGGGAGAGAGACCTGGAGCATATGTGTGTGGGTGGTTATGGGGGGCACTGTGCACGAGCGTGCATGTGCAAGTGCACGTGTGTGTGCCTGTGTGTGCAAGTATGTGTGTTTGCTTTGGTTTATACCAGATAATCAGTGCTGGCCTCTGGGATGAGGTGACATTTGAATGGCAAAGATAGGGAGGAAGGGAGCCCGTAGATACCTGGAGGCAGGATCTTCCAGGCAAAGGGCACAGCTTGTGCAAAGTCCCTGAGGCGGGTGCAGGCTTACTATGTTCCTGATAAACAGGGAACAGAGTGGGTGAGGTGGTGGGGCCAGGCAACAGGGGTGAGGACTGTCGAGCAGAGCAGGGACAAGATCTAACTTAACTTTTGTTGTTCCTGTTTATTTTATTTTTGAGAGAGAGAGTGAGAGATACAGAGACAGAGCATGAGTGTTTGGGGGGTGGATGGGCAGAGAGAGGAAACTCAGAATCCAAAGCAGGCTCCAGGCTCCAAGCTGTCAGCACAGAGCCCGACACGGGGCTCGAACCCACCAACCATGAGACCATGACCTGAGCTGAAGTCTAATGCTTAACTGACTGAGCGACCCAGGCGCCCCACTCTAACTTAACTTGTAAACATACTGTCGGTGTGGCCCTGCTGTGGCCTGCTGTGTGGATATCAGTTTACCCTGGGACACTGGGGACAGATGTCTCTGGGTAATTGTGGGCAGTTCCTACGGCCCAAGGGACAGGGCAGGAGTGAGAAAGAGGCAAATATCAATAGGGAAATCATCCTGATTTCTGCCTGTGGGTATGTCTGCTCCACTCCCGCCGGGGAGAAGGGACCCAGCCGAGGGTTATAGGAGCCAGAGGCCCGTGGCCACGGGGACCAGAGCCGGGCTGTCCTGATACCTGAGCCTCGGCTGTTAGAGTGCACGCTCTCCCCCCCAGATCGGAGAGCAGCGGGCCTCAGGTGTGCCGGGACAGTCCGGAAGGTGAGCTGAAGCCTGTCCAGGGGCAGGGCCAGGGCCAGAGCTGAGCCTTGAGGAGGGACTTTGGGAGAAAGAACCACACGCACCAGCACCTCTAGGAGCCGAGCCCGGTCAGGTGTGTCTTCTGCTAAGCCTGTGTCCAAAGTGCACGTGCCTGGGGCACCTGGGTGGCTCAATCGGTTAAGCTTCCAACTTTGGCTCAGGCCATGATCTTGCAGTCTGTGGGTTCGAGCCCCGCGTCGGGCTCTGTGCTGACAGCTTAGAGCCTGGAGCTGCTTCGGATTCTGTGTCTCCCTCTCTCTGCCCCTCCCCCATTCATTCTCTGTCTCTCTCAAAAAATAAAATAAAAAAGACATAAAAAAACAAAAACAAAAAAAACCAAGGGCATGTGCCTGCCCGGCACGGTTGCCCTTGACCCGAGTGAGGTTTGGACCAGCTTATGGACAGTCTGGGCCCAGCTGAACCTTGGAAGAGGAGGCTGTTTTGATTCAGGGCTGTGTGCCCATAGGCAAGAACATGCTTTCTCTGAGCCTCCTCTGGGGGTGCCTGACTGTCCCTACCGGGAAGGGCTGTTGGGGGTGAACTGAGAGAATTAGTTCAGGAAAGGCAGGGCAGGTGCTGCCTTCCAGAAGGGTCAGGGACAGGATTGGATTTTCTGCGCCCCTGGAGCCTTGAGGAGTTGGAATGAGAGGCAGCAGGTAAAATCTGAGCCCAAGGGAGAAAAGGGACCAGACAGACAGCTCAGGTCTCGCAGAGGCGCCCAGGCCATGCCAGCAGGGTGGGGGGCAGTGGTGGCAGCTCTTAGGGGTGGGAGATGTGGGCCCCTCTGTCCTGGACCAGCCCCGGTGAGTGGGGCAGTCCCCACACAAGGCCAAGCTGGGCCCCTCAGGCAAGGGAGCACAAAGGCGAGTTGGCCAGGCAGCCTGGCCTCCTAAACTGGAAGACAGATGATTCCAGAAATGGCCGACAAGGAAGCCCGGGCCTCACCTGGCTACAGTCCCAGGGTGTTGTGGTTAATGGCAGGTTTGGGGACACTGAGAAAGGGAGCAGGCATCGCCAGTCCACACCCTCAACACAGGTCCTTGTGGCCACACTTTGCTGTCCCCAAAGGACGGGGGTGCCCTGATCCATGACCCCGGAGGCCGCAAGGCACTATTCCTCTTCATGTCTCTGTTCAAATGCCATCTCCTCAGGGACAACCGTCCCCGAGCCCGCATAGAAGACAGCACCCTGATTCCTGGTCGTCCCCTGCCCCCTTCACCGGGGAAGGTTCCTCCGTGGCGCTTGCAACCATCCAACATGCTGTTGAAGTATTTATTTATCGGCGTTCTGTGCCTTTCTCCAGAAGGTCAGCTCCGGGGGCAGAGGGACTTTGTTGTTCTCCCTGCTGCACCCCAGGGCCTAGAACAGCACACCTGGCACATAGTAGGTCCTCAGTGAATGGTTGTGGAGTGGATGAAGAAATGAGCGAATGGATGCCTGCGGAAGAGGCCGGCGAGGCACAGGGAAGGGGGTGGGTTTGATGGGCTTTCTTTTTCCCTTCCTGGGGGCCTGGAGGATGCCGCTACCCCTCCCATTCGTCCTGGCCTCCCCAGCCCTGCCCCCCCCGCCCCAACCCTGCCCCCTGCCCCCCACCTTGTGCAGGTCTTGCGCCAGCGCCTCCTGCAGAAGCTGCTTGTGGTCCCGCAGGAAGCGGCCCAGGCCCTGGAGCTGCGCCGCCCGGAACTCGGCCGGCCGCGTCCGCCCCGCGCTGAAGGCCTCCCGCAGCCGCTGCAGCGTGTCCGCGAAAGGGTCCATCCTGCAGGGAGGGGGCGGCGTGGGCCGGGGCTCCCCACCCCCACGGGCGGTCTCTCCCCCTCCTCTCCCAGCCCCCGGCCGCCACCCATCAGGGCTCACGATCTACTCCTGCAGGGACTCGCGTGTGACCCCAGGGCGCCAGGGCTGCCCCTGGGCACACACCACACAGGGCACACTCACACGTACACACGTACACTCACACACACCAACAGACTCACAGCCCCTCCCTTTGGCCAGCGAGCAGGAGAGACCTGGACCTGGAAGTGGGTGCAGGACAGGGCGTGGGCTCGGGAACGGCCACCCGCAGCCCCTAAGGGGGGGTAGGCAGCCAGGGGCCCTCGCTCCTTCCTGCCACACGGAAGTTAGCCCCTGAGCCGCGCCTCCACCCACCCTGGCGCCCCTCCTGGAGACCGGCCAGCCCTCATCCCCGCCAGGCCTGCATGGAGTAACCAGGAGGAGTTTGATAAGTAGAGGGACGGTCACCGTGGCCACCATGACCACTACTGTGGCCAGTCCGGACACAGAATACACGGTCCCCTCCTGCCCCTAGCCTGGGGGCGCTGCCTGGGGAGGCCAGGCTGGCTGGTGGTGGTCAGGGGGCTGAGCGCCCTGGGCAGTGGCCGGTTCTGTGCCCTGTCCCCAGCCCCAGGGCTGGAAGAGCGGGGAACAGTGGGGGGCAAGGGCTGAGGGGCAGTGACGCCTCCATGAATGACAGCCGCATTCCCCTGGGCCCCCGCCTGTTTACTGGAGCTCATCAGAGGCACATGGTGACGCACTCAATTCTTGCCCTGGTGCCAAGGACCCGTGGGGACCCTTCCCTCCTGCCCTGACTCCCTTCCCTTCAGGTCTCAGCTTGGCTAATGCCTCCTCTGGGCAGCCTGCCCTGATTACTCCTTCACACAAAGAGCGGGTTTCAGCCTCTCTCCTCCCACTGGCCCCTCTTTGCCTGCCCACCTGAGAGAGGTCTTGGCGCCCCAGTCCCCTCGTCTGTCGGGGGTATGAGAGCGCCCGCCAGCTGACATGGTGCTTTGCAAGGATAAGACCGTGCTGTCCAGTTCTGAGCCCAGGGCTGGACATCCGTGCACCCAAGGCTGCCAGCTCTGGTTAAGGGGCTACGCCACGGCCCTCAGTTTTCTGGAATGCTCCATGGTCCTGAGAACTGAGCTTGCCCCAGCCCCTAGGGCGTTAGGCATGATGGTGGGGGGAGCCAGGCGGACCCCACAGGCCTCCAGCTCTGGTTGGGATGAACCGAGCCGTTGCCCGGGGCACAAGGCAGGCCCCATGGCCCCCAGAGAGGGTGACAGTGCAGCAGAAAGGGGACATTCTCAGAGTCCCTCTCGGCCTCAACCTGGCCCCCAGGCCCCACCCTCCGTCTTGGAGGAAGAGGCGCTGGTCACTGCCGAGACCCGGGAGACCTGCCTGCCATCTGGGCATGTCCTCTGGCTCAGACGCACCCTGGCCTTGTGACCTCGGGCAGGTAACTCATCTCTCTGCCTCAGCTTCCCTGTCTGTAAAGTAGGGACGATAATGGCACTTACCAGCGTCCTGATGATTAAGTGGCATCATGCCACGTAGGCCCTGGCCCCCGGACGCAGGCCGCACGCTCGAGAAAGGTCAGCAGTGTTTATGGTTACTAAGTACCCATCACATATTTCTTTCTCTCCACCCCCCCGCCACTCCTTCCTCTGCCTCCCTCACACCTTCAGACCCCTGCTGACGGGTGTCGAGGGCCAAGCGCAGCCACCCTACCTGCCTCCCCCCCACTTTGCCTTTTCATAACAGTGTCTAAAGAAGCCACAAAAATGTAAGGCACATAACCAGAATGCCATAGGTCTGGGCAAGTGAGGGGCAGGGAGCTCTGGGCGGTGCAGGTCTGGATGGAACATTCCGGCAGCCTCTCTTGGCAACACTGAGGTCAGCTCACCTGATATTGTCCCCTGCGGGTCGGTCACTCTGGACTGAGGGGTGCCCGTTGGGGGATGGGAAGCTGGGCAAAGGAGGTGTGCAAAGAAGCCCCGACCACCTTCTGCCTGGGATCCGGGAGACCCTGGGCCTGTGACCTCACAAAGGAGACACAGATGAGGGAGTTTTTGTATCAGGCTGGACTGGGGTCTCTGAGCCCACTTCCACCCCCCAGCCCTCACCCCCGGGGTACATCTGATGCCATGGCGGCTCATAAGGATGCTGAATTGCATCTCCTATGCCTGTGTGACTCATCTGACCACCACGACAGGCTGCGGAGGGCACTGATCTTCTCCCCCACAAGGAGAGGGATACTTGGGCCCAGAGACAGCAAGGAGGTGGCCCAAGACCACCCAGCTTCTTTACACTGGAAACCAGGATCCAGAGGAATCCAGAGGAATGCAGGGCTGCCCACCGTCCACCCTTCATCCCCGACATGGCTGGGTGGGGAGCAGGTCAGCCCAACTCCTGGGGAAAGGGGACCTCAGCAGCTGGCCTGAACTGCAGAAGCAGGGCCAGGCAGGTGGGGGGTGTGGCTGGGCTCTGGAGGGGCCGTCGAGGGTGAGCAGGTGGGCTGTTTGCACCTGTTCCCCTCCTCCTCGCTATTCCTGTCAGCCCCCACCCTGCTTCCCCTTCTGGCCTCCTCAGGCTCAGTGCTGAGGGCCTTGGGGCCAGGGGACCCCGCTTTCAACTGCCCACTGGGCCGCATCTCTTCCTGACCCGGTGCTTCTGGGGGGGTGCTGGTGGTGGGGGAGGGTTGCTAAATCAGTTGGTGACGACATTAATCAGTTGATGGCTTGGAGGCCAGGGGAGGACACGCCACGACTCCTCAAGGCCGTGGGCCTGGGGCTCCTCTACCCAGCGTAATAAGCAGGCCCTGATGGCAGTGTGCCAGCCGGGGTGCCCTGGGTGGTGTGGTGTGGGGGTTGTCATGGTGACCCTGAAGCCAGCTGAGGCTCAGAGAGGTCGCATGGAGTCAGGGAGGGGTGAATAAGGGGGCACACCTGGGTCTGCTGCCTCCGAGCATCCTTGGGAATCTACTGCCCTGCCCCCACCCCCTGCATCATGGCCGGTCCTGCTGCTGAGCGAGCCTCGGTGCTGACCGAACTCTCCTCCCACCCCAGCCTCTGCCCACTCTGTCGGTCTTGCTGCCTCAGTTTCCCCAGCCGCCCCAGAGGCCTTCTAAGGGCATCCTTTTGGTACAATGTTTCAGGGCCCGATGCCCTGGGGCTAGATCCTGGCAGCCCTGGTTGTTGGCTAGGAGTCCTGGGGTGGGTTGCCGGCTTCTCTGTGGCTCACCTTCCCCATCTGTGAAATGGGGACAGTGCTGTGGGGAGAATCAGGCGTGCAGCGTCCCGCGCAGGGCCGAGCCCTGTGAGGCTGAGCCCGATCGTCATTCAGACTGTGAAGGACCCCTGTTCCAAGGGCCCTTCAGGAAGGAGGCGCTGGGGAGGAGCCCGAGGAGACCGTGGGCCAGGCTCGGTCAGGGATACGGAACTGGCCAAAGGTCCTGATGTTCCAGGGTCTTCAATCTGATCTCCCCCAGTCGCCTGAACTGGATTTTCATGGGTTGTCCAGACGCTTTGGCAGAGTCAAAGCGTGGGGACCTCCTGATCGTGGGGACCGAGGGAACTGGGGAGCAACCCTTGGCCTGTGGACTGAGTCAACCCCAGCCCCACCCTACAGAGACTGGGCCGCCCGGTCCCCTGATGCTGGCCATGTCCCCCCAGGGATCGGTCCCTTCTCTAGACAGGGTGGGTCTGGTCCGCCTAGTCCCCACTTCCTGGACTCTGGCAGACACCGGGCACTGCTGTGTTGCCAGGTGGATGCTTGGCCCCTGCCACCCCCTCCCTCTTCACCGCCCCCCCCCGGGATGGGAGCGCCTTTCCTCCTGGGGCTCCTTCCAGAGCTGGACCCTTGGACCCCTACGACATGTGCAGTAACACCAGTGAAAGGGGGACGGTGGCCCGGCTCCCACAGAGTGAGGCTGCCTGCTGGCCACCAGCCTCAGGAACCCCAGCACCTCCCTTCAGTCCCTCCCTCTCCCCCTCGTCCCTCCTTCCCCTTTCTCCCCAGGCAGGCAGGAAGACAAAGCCAGCCTGTGTCATGTGGCCCTGAGTGGCCAGCCTGCCCCGGCAGCCAGACTCGGAGCCAAGCAAGCCCCCCGGCCAGGTCCCTGGCCCCGGCTGCTGACCGCTCCGGCCCCACCTCCCTGGGACATCGTACCTGCGGCCCTGCAAGCTGCCCTTCCTCCTGGCCGTCCCTGCTCTTTCCCGCTGCCCTGTCGTTTATGAGTCAGGAGTCGTTATGAAATGTCCAAGGCTGGGCCAGCCCCTGGGGCGGGGCTGCCCTGGCCTCCTGCCTGACCTTGGCTCTGGGCCGGCTGGAAACCGCAGCCAGAGATTTCACCACCTCTTCCGTCAGGAGCCTCCGGATTCTCTCCTGGACCACAGAGAAGGAGCCCGGGCCCAGGAAGGCCAGTGTGAGGCCAGGGCCACACAGCCGTGCTGTAGGCAGCTCTGAGCCGACGGGTCCAGCCCAAGGTCTGGCGAGCAGGGACCCAGGCCCAGGAGGAGGAGGTGGGTGGGGTCCGGCAGTCTGGGATCGCAGGGAAAGCCCTGCCCCCACACCCCCCACCCCCGACCCCTGTGAACCTCAGCTTTTCCACATGCAAAATGAAGAGATCAGAGCCAAAGATGGCTGGAGCCCAAAACGGCGATCTCAGGGCCCACGCCCGCTGACCCGTCCGTTCCCTGGCTCTGCCCGCATCATGTCCATCACCACCGCCATGCAACACAGAGCATGCAGCCTGACAGCTTACAGTGAGAAAACAGAGGCCCTGAGAGGGGACAGGACTTGCCCACAGGGCTGGGACCCACACTGGAGCCGAGGGGCCGTGTCGTGCCCAGATGTCCCCTAACACCTCCTTAGGGAAGAGCGCCCCCCTCTGCCCTCGAGGACAGCTGTCATGATGGGTCGCCGTGGTGGTTCTTGGGACCCTGGTCCCCTGGTGCCCGAGCTGTGCCAAGGGGGCCTGCCCTCCCGCCCCGGGCACACCTGTCAGAGCCGGCACGGAGGGGGATGGTCCCCGAGCGGCTGTTGGTGTCAGACAGCCAGGTGATTAGGTTACAGGTGCGGGGGCAGGAGCATCTTTTGTGCCACGGCCCCGTGCCTGCCGCCGCCCCTCTGCCTTGGTGACTTGGGGCCTCTGGGCCGACCCGGCACCTGGGAGGTATTCCTCACCGCCGCGGCCCTCCCCACTACCCCTGCCTACCTGGGGGGCAGGAGAGGTCTCCCGGCCCACGCCTGCTCCGGTCCCTGGAGGCTTCAGCCAGCTGGGACGGGGGCGAGGGGCCGCAGAGCCCCCGTCCTCTGCGTGGGATGGAGCCCCCAGCCGCTGCCTGTCACGTGGCTCAGCATGTGACAGCCCTGCCCTGCTGTCTGGAGCTGAGCCAGGCAAAGGCAGAGGCAGAGCTGACACCAGGCGGGGCTGGGCTGGGGCTGAGCCTGACAGCCCTGAGTCAGGAACCGGGCCCAGAGAGGGGCAGCCACTGGCCTAAGGCTACACAGCAAATCAGGGACCAACATGGGGAGGTACTGGTGGGTGAGATGGGTGTTGTAGGATCCCGAAGGCCCCCTCCCTGGCCGCGGATCGCCTTGCAGGGGCTACCCGTGAACTTTTCATGAGTTCAGGAACAGCCTGGGTCGTCTCCACAGAGGCCTGACTTCCTGGCACAGGGGGCCTAACCTGGCCTGGGAGCCTGAACTGGCACTGCCCCTCAGGGAGGAACCTCGAGGTTCCGGGGAGGTACCAGCTCTCTCCCCTCTCTGGGTTGGATGCCTCTACTGGTCCTCGAAGTTCAGGGGCTCAGTGGGGTCTGGAGGTTATGTCCCTGTTGTGGAAACCTCGAGATGAATGGGGAGAGGTCTGCGTGGGGTGCCACTGAGGGGCGCGCTTAGGGCCAGCTCCGGTGGGTGACAGACAGGCTCTGCCGAGGACCCAGGTCAGTCAGGTGGGGTGGATGTTGGGGGAGCACAGAGGCTGGAAGAGGGGACACAGAGGCCCTCACTCCCCCACATTTACCTCGGCCCTTCCTTTTGGCAACTCCTCTGCCAAAGGTTTTGGTTTGGAGACTCGGATGAAATGACCTTCATCATTGTCACTTCTGGCCTCCTTCTCCAGGGTAGAGAGGTGGGGGGGGGGGGCTGGCCACGGGAGGTGGTGGCATCAGGCAGACTCATTAATTCACTCGTTCATTCTCTCCCTCCCTCCCTCAGACACCTGGTATACAGTAGGTGCTCAATAGGCACAGATGCCCTTCTGCCCCTTTCTCACTCACCTGAGGCAGCGGCCACCCTGTTTTTGTCCCTGAGGCCCTGCCCTCCCTTTCTTGTCTCTGCTTTAGAGGCGAGACCACCCTGGCTCCCCCCGCCCCCCACCAGCCTCCCCTCAGAGACCAGCGGGACCCATTCCAGGGGCGGAGTTAGAAGCCACTGGTGCTAACTTGTTGCCAAGAACCGACACGCACTCTGCAAACCTAGACCAAGCAAGCACCTGCAGCATGCTAAGCCCTGCGCCGGGTGCTCAACACAAAGTCTCGTGTAAGTCTCAGACATTGGTCCTGGCTTTGCAGGAGAGACAACGGGCTCAGAGAGGTACAGTGACCAGCGCAGGCTCACACAGCAAGAGTGACTGAGGGGGACTCCAGCCCAGCCTGGCCTGTCTCCCTGGCCCACAGCGTTTCCAGAGTGGCCCCCAGTCCTTGCTTAGGAACTGATGGGAGTTGCCCTCGCTCCTGGGAGCCTCATCTCTTGGCTGAAAGCAGCAGCCACCGTTCCTTGGACATCCGCTCCGCCCGGCCCTGGGCAGGGTCCTTGGCACATCTCAGCTTGGGGACATCTGTGGTGATTGCCACCCCCAATTTTTAGTTTAAAAAATGATAGGGTCGACTCAATGCCAGTGCCAGGGAAGTGGTGTTAGGTGAGTGAGTTGCGGGCCAGACGTGACCCTCTCTGGGACCCAATGCAGAGGACATACAGTTACTGCCCAACAGTATCTCAGGAGAGGTTTCAGGGTGTCCGGATCGAGAGCAATATTTCTCTCTCCTGTTTGCTTTTCCATAAGGAACAGCTATTCTATCGTAATGAGAAGAAACAAGAAGACTTATTATAGAGAGAATAATTTGAAAATGGGGGGGATATGGCTGCTCATTCTGGGGACTTGACAGTGAGTGAGTGAGGCCTCTGTGGGGGAGGGAGGGAGGGCTGGCCTGCTCAGCTCTCTGTCCTGTAGGCCACCCTGGCCCCGCCCCCATGCCAGTCTAGCAGGCTTGAGGGTGGGAGGGAGGAAGCGATGTCATCAGCCCCCAGAGGGCCAAGGTCACCCAGGGAAAGCCGGCCCACTCTCTGGGTGCTGGGATCCTGGCAGAGCCAAGCCGCTGCCCCCGAGCTTCCCTGGGGAGAAATACCCTGGCCTCTCTCCTTCTCCCCACCCTGATCTCCTGCTCGCACTTCCCGTTGGCCGAAACTCATCAGGGAGCCTCTTGCTCAAGTATTTGAGAGCTCTTGTCTCCAGGGCCAGTTTGCCAGTCACATCCAAACCCACACCCGGACCGAGCCAGGGACGATTTTCCTGCTAGTTTCTGAGCATCAGCAGACTTCAAGGAGCCCTGGGGCCCAAAGTGCCTGCTTCTCACATTCTTCTGGTGTCACCCCGTAGGAATGCTAACAAGACAAAATTACTCATTTCTCAGCTTGGGGTATTTATATGTGTATTCGTTGTCTTTCTTTTTAATGAATCGATTTTTTGGGTCATTTAAATGTAAATATATTCCCTTTTTGTTCTTAAGGTTAGAATAGTATCATTCTAATATTACTGGGATTACTGGGTGCTGTAATCTCAGGTTTTGAACCAAGCTACTAGGACCCCCCCCAAATATTCTGAAATGAATCAATTTTAATAAAGCAGTGGTTTTTAAATTTGTTTAAACATTAAAATTCTTTTTAATGTTTATTTATTTTTGAGAGAGAGACAGAGTGTGAGCAGGTGCTGGGAGCCGCACCAGCCTCTCTGGATGGCAATCACAGCAAGAAGTGACAATGTTTGCAGCTCCAGCCATGAGAAATGAAAACTGATATCTCCTTCTGCTACTATTGGCTCATGTTGGATATAAGCCTACTGGTATTGACCAGGCCTCACAATATTCCATATTAGACCCATATTCTGAATACAGATACCTCATAAGGAAAAGCATATTCCTGCCTTTACAAAAGAGATTTTAGATGAAAGCTCTGTGGGTGATTGTCAAAAGGCTCTTCCTATGGGCCTTGCAGATCCGAGACTTACGGGGTTAAGAACACAAGAATTACAATTGAGCCTGGCCCTGAAACCAAGGCCCCCTATTTTGGGGTTAAGAGCAAAACATAGTTACCACATATATCTTTGCTAATTGGTGAAACATAACAGTCCCTTCCTGATGAATTCAGAAACATTCATCCTCTTGAGAGCCAGACAAAATACTCCTAGCTTATCTATATAGAATTTGACCTATATGTTATCCTATTTTTCACTAAGAACATTCTGTTATTTCCTTGGTCGGAATAATTCTACTGTTATCACAAAAGGCCTCCCATTGTAAGAAATTCCTTTCTATGACTTCATCTTGTTGCTGAACCTTTAAATAAAGATACAAAAACAAATATACAAGCAGGGAAGGGGCAGAGAGAGAGAGGGAGACACAGAATCAGAAGCAGGCTCCAGGCTCTGACCTGTCGGCACAGAGAGCCCTGACGCGGGGCTTGAACTCATGAACC